ATACTATCCTGGTACCGGAACGTGGCACCCGATCCATATTCTATCCTGGTGTCGGAACGTGACACCCGATCCATATTCTATCCTGGTACCGGAACGTGGCACCCGATCCATATTCTATCCTGGTGTCGGAACGTGACACCCGATCCATATTTTATCCTGGTACCGGAACGTGGCACCCGATCCATATTCTATCCTAGTGTCGGAACGTGACACTCCGATCCTCATATACTATCCTGGTACCGGAACGTGGCACCCGATCCCCTAATCTCACCACTTTCGTTCATCAAGCCTTCTTTTATACCAAGACATCATCATTAACAAAGTAGATTAGGGTTTCTTTTCAAGATTTGGGATTCAATAGCTTCATCATGCTTATTTATTCACTATTACATAATCACATAATTCATGCAAGCATACAATTAAGCATATAGAAGGTTTACAATACTACTAACACATATCATTCGCTATTAAGAGTTTACTACGAATAGCATGAAAACCATAACCTACCTCCACCGAAGATTCGTGATCAAGCAAGCAATTTCCCAAGCTTTGTGTTTTTCCTCTCGTTCGATCCTCTCTCTTTCTCTTGTTCTTTCTATTTTCTTTATTCAAACCCTCTTTCTTTTACCCTAATTAGTATATAATTAAGAATAAAAGATGGCAATAATAACCCACTAATTAACTTAAGGTTACCTCTTTTAACCCCCAAGTAATTAGACTTATTAACATTAACCCACTAACTTTATAATTAAGGCAAGAATAGTCAAAAACGTCCCTTAAAACGTATCAAGAAATCCGACCCAGACTGGGATTGCGCAACCTGCGATGGCTCGTCGTGCCTGCGACGGTCCGTCCTGCAGGTCGTCGCAAGGGTCAGAGACTTGATTTTTGGGTGAATGGCCTGTGACGGTCCGTCACACCTGTGACGGTCCGTCACACCTGTGACGGTCCGTCACACCTGTGACGGTCCGTCCTGCCACTCCGTTACGAAGTTCAGAGAGTCGATTTTCAGTACCCAATTTCAGATTTTCTAAGTGTTTGGAAACGAGACCCTGCGACGGTCCGTCGTGGCCATGACGGTCCGTCGTTGGGTTCGTCGCCTCAGCCTGTTTTTCCAGAAATAAAATCTTCTGCTCAAAACGACTAAACAGGTCGTTACACAAAGAAATAAGGAAGATGAAGGAAACTAATCATTAATGGCCAGACGAAGCAGAAAATGAGAAAAATAAAACGCGTTCATATGACTATGAGTCTGTTTGGATTGATTTAACAAAGTAGTCTTCAAGTTAAAAATAAAAGGAAAAATTGTATATAATAGCAAATTATTAATTCAAATTAAATGTTATAACCATAGTTTGATTTAATTATACCCCATAGCAAACTGCTGCTATTTCGCCTCTCTCCTAGTGAATCTCACTCGCCATTCTCGCTTGCTCACTTGCCTCTCTCGCTTTATACAAAATGAAAATGTATAAAATGTGTTTGTGTTTGTATAAAGCGAGAGAAAATTGTATATATACATATATTTTCGTTCCGTTCTCCCAGATCTCCTCACTTAGGCGAAACTCTTGGTCGTAGTATGGTGACCTATCTTCAGTAGATACAAAAATGCAATGTAAATGTGTTTATTATTTGTATAAAGCGAGATAAAATTGTATATATACATATATTTTCATTCCCCTCTCCCAGATCTCGCTTGCTCACTCGCCTCTCTCACTTTATACAAACACAAATGTATACATTGTGTTTGTATTTGTATAAAGTAAGAGAAAATTATATATACAAAACAAATGCATCTATTTTCATTCCATACACTTATTATTTTACAAATACGATCTTCCTTGCCCAATTTTCTTTTGTCTTTCTTTCTTTCTCGTTTTAGAAACACAAATTATACAATTGATCTTTTGTGTATGCATATCAAAGCAGATTATACAATTGTTTTCTTTCGTATATGTATAGCGAAATTATACAATTGTTTTCTTTTGTATATGTAGAGTGATATATACATATTTATATTTGTTATGGAACGCATTTATGCAAATTATAACTATAACATACAAATATAAAAAGACAAACTGAAATGACTTTTAAGTCAAAAAATAAAAAATGCGGGTGACATACTTTTGGATTTTGACTTGTTTTAAGTTATTTTTTACCTTCTCAAACATCCCAACTTATTTTAAGTCATATTTTTACTTATTTTAAATTACTTTTAATATTTAACAAACACTTTCTAAAGTAAAGAATCATCTAAAAAGAAGATTTAACTAGCTTTTACTTTCTAAAGTAAAGAATCATCTAAAAAGAAGATTTAACTAGCTTTTGAACCAACTCAAACATCCTCTATATATAGTTATAAAACAATAATTGGGCCATATTTTGTTATAACAATGACTGAACGGTTATTTTGTTTAATTGTGTACAATTAAAACTTATTATTATTATTATTATTATTATATGGAGTTATTATAGTTAGATGTCGTTATAATGACCATGTTTGTCTGGCCCTATTATAACAACTCACTCCCTATAACATCCTATTTCCATCACATATGCATTATTAGAGTGCCCTATAGGTAACTCTCTATGGTCACAATTCAGGTTGTTTATGGCTATGATTAAAAAATTGAATCGAATTGTAATTCAAATCAAATTGTTTAAAATTAATAATTGGTGTAATTTGATTTTAAATTTTTAAAGTTAATATTATTTAATTTGATTTTAATTTTAATAAAACAATCGCATAAATATCAAACTAAACTGAGAAATTATATCGAAAAATTTTATAATTATTTTATATTATTTATAAATAAAATATAAATATTTTGTTATATTTTAATTTACTTAAGTCTTTAATTTTATCATTTTCTCAAGTCTAACACTAAAGTTTTAACTCAATTATTAAAATCCTAAGATTAAATCCATTATTTTATCTATACCTACCCCTTATACCACATAGTCTGCATCACTTTGTTCGTGTCATGACAATTCTAGTATTGCTTGGTTGAACTCATTGCTCACAGTAGTTTTCCATAAATTATTCATGTATTACGTGTTTGTGTCAATCGAGATGCATATGACCTCAACAACTTATTACTTTCAAATCGAAAAAATTAACCGACGATTAATTTTTTGTGTTTGATTTGGTTTTACAAATTTAATAACTGACTGTATTGGTTTGATTCTAGTTTTGACCGATAACAGATCCAAATCATTTCATGAACACCCGTGATCACAATACAACCTCAGTCATGTTGTTTTCTAATTGAATATGAAAAAATGCATGTTTTCTCTTCACCTGACTTAAAATTTAATCTCGTCCTTGTAATAAATTACTTTTAAAGTTTTGTCTTTAACAATCGAACTTATATCTAGATGGATTTAAGTTCATTAATAGCACATGTATAACATGTAGGTATGCGAAAATATTAATGAACCATATTCTTTATTCATTTAATATTATCATCAAATAAATTCATATTAAAAAGAAGTATCATAATATGTACCACATTGAGTACAAACCCCATACGACACACCATTATAAAGATTTTTTGTAATTGAATTAAAATTTTGAGATAGTTGATTTTTTAAGAAAATATTTGGTGTTTTATCTAACTTTGGAAGTTCCTCCAAATATAAATGGTGTGTTCTAAAATGGAGGGATGAAAAATGAAAGAAAATCAAATTAATGAGAGGGAAAATGGTGAATTTAAAAGTTAAAAGGAGAGTATAAATATGAAAAAACTTAGAGAAATTGTGGAAAGGAAAGTAGGAGCTTATGTTATAAAAAATAACTTAATTGTTGGTAAATGTTTCACCGTATTTTTAAATTATATTTTGTTTACCTTTTTACTAGATTTTGTTAAATTTCTATTGTTGTGTTAACAAAACTAGACACTACGGCTATATTTTGCTATATTGCCTCTTAAATATATATATATATATATATATATATATATATATATATATATATATATATATATATATATATATATATATATATATATATATATATGTTTTTTACCCTATGATGAAATTAATTATATTCAAATAAAAAATTTGATTTTAGTTAGATGTTTAAGATTTCATCTTTCTCTTTGGGATCCAAATTGGCGACACGTGTCAAATTAAATAATATGATATATCGAGTCAAATAAATTTTTAATAGTAGGAAAGAATAATTAAAAGATTTATAGATATTGTACCACTCACTACATTCGAAATAAAATACTAAGATTCTTATATTATTTTCAGGCTTGGTTATTATTTTCACGAATTCAATTATCAAGAAATTATGAGATTTTCGATTGGGTCTCATTACCTAAATTATTACTGCATGATTACTATGAACAATTTCATGGTAATATTTTTTTGATAAGTTCATGTCTTAACTGAAAAAGGAATCTGGAAAGAATCTTTTTTATATGTATGGCTTGAGTTGAAATTTGATTTATTTTTTTGTAAATTACATAAATTTCAAAGTTTAATATGAAATTACAAATCTATCTCTAATAAGTTTTTAATTATATCAATATTTTAAAAATTAAAAAACTCGAATATAATAATTGAAGCTCAAATACATTAAATACCGTCTTGGATACATTAATATGTAGCTTGAATACATTAAAAACTAGATCAGATATATAATATGTAGCTCGGATACATTAAATACCGGTTCGGAATAATGTAGACCGGATACATTAAAAACTAGCTCGAATACATAATATGTAGCTTAAATACATTATATACTGGCTCGAATATATTAATATGCGGCTTAGGTACATTAAAGAAATAAGAGATTTGAAGATTTTTAAAAATAATAGAAGATAATGGAAATAAGTGAAACAAAAGGTCTGCATTTCTATAATTGTCCTTAATTTTAAGTTCAGTCTCCGAAATGATATCAAAGTGATGAAGAAGATATTTTCTACACGAGAATTCAACCGACAACAACATCATATCTAATAAAATTTCATAAGTAGAGTCTTAGAATGACGTTACGAACTTAACTAAGACTAAAATAAACAATAATTTAATTAGTAACAAAAAGTTTATTATTTTTCACTGAAATGATACTTTTAAAACATGATATCTCTATATAAGAAGAAGACTAGCAATCAAATGTACAACGACATTGAGTAGTTCCATCTCCTGATTCTTCACAAAATGCATCAATAATAGCAACTTTATATTGTATGATGCAAAGTTGAACACATCCATGATCAGGTCCAAATCTGCATTGATTCACTCCTGTGTAGCCATTGCATCTCTTCGTATCGTCTAACGACATAATTCGTTCATCTATATGGAAAAAATATTCTCAGCAAAATTAATCTTATAGGAGTATTTCGTACCATTCAAAATGAAACAAACAGATTGAAACAAAGAGAGTAAAAACGAATAAGGGCTTGTTATTTTATTTTCTAACATTTTTATGAAATATTTGATAATTTCCTAAAAGGTAAAATTTTCATTTGGTTTAAAGTAATACCTGATAAAAATGTAAGAAGAAGAATGACGATAGCAAACAAAGATAATTGGAAGAACTTCATCTTCAATGCTACCTAATGGTTATGTGTTTCTTCTGATATTGATGTTTCTTTAATGGACATTTTATAGTAGTAACTAGTAAGTTGATTTATAAATTTCAAGGTAGGCAATCAAATTTAGAGACTCAAAGAGTCTTATCTATATATAGTAAGTCATTATTACTGAGTCAAACTTGAATTTTTATTAGCATTTCATTATTGACTAACCTTTACATGACATAGTAGTAACTAATAAGTATATAATTAAATATGGTGTATTAGTAATGTTAGTAAAATGTAAGTTGAGCTATTAAAAAATTAAAATTGTAACAATAAGTAAAAATTGGAAGACCAAATTAAGGTTGAGGCGAGTCAATTTTGTATCCCCAAAACTCAATAAATTTTTCTAGTAAAATAAAACCACAGAATAATTCTAAGGGAGAAAATTTTGTTTACATCTTTCATCCAACTTCCAAAAGGAAAAAAAAAATAGATTATATAAAGAATCATATCTCTTGCAATAGCTCCAATGGTAAAGAAGAATATAAAATTGTCTTGGCATTAAAGAATAATCAAAGTTTGTTACAAATGCAAATAAGAATAGTAAATGTGTATGAATGATAAAGAATAGTGAATGACTCATGAATAAAAATGATTATGACTTATTAATGTGTAACGACCTTTTTGGTCGTTATAGGTAATGTAACACATCGGTTTTCGAAAGAACTAGAATAGAAATTAAGAAGCTAGATTGGAAATAGCAAAATTGGAAATTTCGACAAATTATGTTAAGTATGAATTTTAGATCAATTTCAAATGATCATAACTTTCAGTACAAGATGATTTAAGTAGTCCATAAGATATCAAATGGAAAATCTTGGAATCCTCTTTCCAATGCCACCGAGTTTGCAAATTTTCTAGATCATATGAGGGATATATGTCTGTTTGAAGTCGGGTTGTCCATCTAAGGAAAGCTACCCAAATTTAAAAGGGGTATTATGATCTTTTCCTTACACTGTCAGATTTATTTCTTTTTTAGTAATTAATTAGGGGTCTAAACTGATTTGATTCAGTTTACGCCATCATAGTTCACACTAGGTTTTTAGAAAAGAGTTTAATAAGAGAAAAGAGGAGAAATGCCAAGATTTCGTCGAGTTCTTGAGGATTTGATTTCGGATTTCGCCATGAGTTTAATCTCTAAAAGGTATGTCAATTCGCATAGCGTTGGGTTCGTTCACCTACGTGTCAATCATGTTAATTTCAGCTTAATTTTCATCCTAAAAAAGTTGAAGGTTTGATGTTCTTGATTAGTGTTCTTGAATTTGCTTTCATTTGAATTAGGATGGGATTGATGAGTTCTAAACATATAGAAATCATCCATAAAAATGAATCATAACCTTAAATACATAAATTCAAATTCAAGGTAGATCTAAGAGTCAAGTCTTGAGAGTTCTTGAGTCTTTTCAAAAAGTCTTTTTCAATTGTTTTAAACTTGTCTTAAGAATTGACCATTGAATTTAAGGAAGAGTTGAGCCGAGTTCATTTTCTTTAAAATGTTATATGATAACTAAGTATTATCAAAGAGTAAATGTTTTTCACATATAAGATGAGAGGAAACATCGATTTGCGAAAAAAATTTCATGATCGAGCAGTTCCGAGTACCTTTTTTTTAATAGATAGAATTTTGAGTAATTATCTCAAACCAAAGAGAAAGTCATGATTCTAAACATATGAGCTAGTTACATTTTGGAATTAGTATTGAGTGCCGATATGGTGACGAGTTCAGATAACTCAAGTCTTCATAAATCATGCAACCAACGTGTATTTTGAATAAAAGGGTTCAAAATTTGAAAAAATATACACACGAAGTAGTCGAGGGGGGTTTGATATTTACTAAATGTACTTAAAAAAATATTATAACCGTTTATAAATAATATAATTTCGACATTTACTAAATATACTTAAAAAATATTTTAACCATGTATAAATAATATAATTTTTCGCCGAAGGTGGTTTGGATGAACCCTACTTGTTGGGTGGTTCCACCATTGGATAGAAGACTCATACTTTTTAGATGATTCCTTGTTGCTTTTAAGCATAACTTACTGGATCCACTTAGTTGAGGAACTTTATACCCTAGCAAAGTATAGAACAGTTCTGACAGCGTGGGCGAGACACTTTATCATCACATTGCTCATAGTGATTGTTGTCAGTTAAGAGAATCTGTCAAGGAGTTACTTGTATTTTTATATACAAAACTAAGTTATTATTGAGTCTTTCAAAACAATGAGTTGTTACCAACATGTTTCAACGTTTTTCTTTATACTGCATCTTTAATTACTGCTTTATATTGAGATGAATTTAGTTGAGACGAGGTAAATGTTTCTTTCAGTTCCTGTTCAACCTTATGTCTTGTTTATATTTTCCCTCAAATGCTTGTACATTGCATGTACTGACATCATTTGACATGCATATTTCATGATGCAGATACAGGTAACCAGGATCAGCATTCGACGCTTGATCAAATTGAGCTTCAGAGTTGCTAGTGAGCCTCCTTGCTTTCGAAGGATACCTTTACTTTGTTTTACATTTTAGCTTCTTAGGATGTCGTGGGACTTGGCCCAACGTTCATCTCAGTTAGTAGAGGTTTTATAGATAGGAAGACATTATTAGTCCACGAGTTTTTTCATTTTAAATTGTTTATGTTAAGACTTGAGTTGTCACTTTGGGTAGTTGAATGTTTATTTTCAACACCTTTTAATTTAAATTATTCAGAAAGTTCATTTTAAAGTTGTATTTAAGTGCTTTTATCATGAGTTAGTCTTCCGCTAAGAGTTTAGTCAGGCCAAGGGTTCGCTTGGGACCAACAATGATTCTCAAGTGTCCTCCACGTCTATGGTGTAGGCTTGGAGCATGACAAGTAAATCAAAGGTGAAAGAATTTGGTCAAAAAGAATATAGATAGTGATTTGAAGATCTTAGGCCACGTCAGTGTCAGGCTTAATATGAGCGATGCGAGGTTTCAGATAAATCGGGAATGAATGAAGTGGTATGTCTAAATTTGGATCGTGATTCATCGTAGCTAAGACATTAATAAATTCTTAAGGCCTTTCGAAATCAAATTTAGGCGGTAAAACTTTTGTTATCAAATTTGATGTGAAGGGGTTAGTGAGAATGTCAAAGTTCGACGGTATGTTGTAAAATAGGGCCTTTGGGAAAGACTAACGATTCTTTGTCTCCTTGTAAGCTGATATAGAAGGATGAATTAATTCCGTCTATAGGGGATTAGTTAGAGTTATGTGCAAAAAAGTCTCAAAAACCTCTTATTTTCTGCATTTTCATATTCTTGAAATTGAGAAAGGAAATTTAGTGCATATCCCTTGGGATTTTTCCAGCAATCTCTTGGGTAAAGGTAACTTAATTACTTTCCCAAGTTATATTTTTATTCTTAAGCCTTAGAATCTAGAGTGTGACTCTTTAAAAGGGTTTTAATTTGAATCAATGGTAAAAAGACCCTTGTTCGGTAGAATGATCATGTCACGCCCTGAGCTTACGCCCTGGACGTGACTGGCACTCGAGAACTCTTCCGCTAAGAGTTAGGTCAGTCCAAAAGTTCGCTTGGGTCCAACAATGATCCTATCGAGTGTCAGTCGCGTTCAAGATACAAGCTCGGGGCATGACAACAATTTCCTCTAACTGCTATTGATTTCTTGTTATTTCTTAGTCCATTTGTTCAGACTCAGATATTCTAGACTTATATTTTCTTCTTTCCGAGTGGACTTTCGTAATGATGGTTTTCGTGTAGCATTTTTGGACCTTTAGTAGCAATCTCTAAGCCCCATAACTATGTGTTACCATTAGAATTTATCTCGAATAGATATTAGTTAGTAAATCCACCTTAGCTCAGATACCATGGTCCTTACCTTAGCAAATTGGACACTTTTTTTCAATGTGAAAGTAATTGATGGACTCAATGTAGTGACTCGCATGGTTTATGTCAGTTTTAGTATGTCCCGCAGTCAAATTTTTAAATATTGCATTGATCAAATATATCAATTCAATTTTACTTAGTTTTCATGATTATACACTTCATCATTGCATTAACATGTTTTATAGACTTATCATATTCGGAGATCATATTTTATACATTTCCTCATACTAAGTACATTTGAAGTACTAGCCGCATACTTTCTGCCTATATTATTTGATTATATAGTATATAGGTTTTGACACTTATTATCCAGCTTGCGGCAAGTACTATCTCTGATAAGCTAACAACAATGTTGGTGAGTCCTCATCTCATCAAGGATACCACTTATGATTTCCTTTTGATCATTGCTTTCAGTTTTCAGACATGTTAGAGTTAGTTAGGGGTTTGTCTTAGCAACCCATGTTAGTCAAGACTTTCATACAAACAATTAGATTCTGCCATGTTATGTTGTCCTTCAGATTTCTTCTATATTGAGATTATAGGTTCTATCCAGATATTTTTTTTTTTTTGTATCCTCATGTTTATTTTAGTTTCAATTGATTTTGTTAATCTTAGAGTCATGTCATGCTATAAAATTATCTCAGGGTCACTTGTGGCTCTAAGCATTATGACACATGTCTAGGGGCAGTCTTGGGTCATGATGGCTTGTTAGATGTTTTGGTACAACGACTTGCAGATTCTAGGGAGGTTGATATCCAAAACGGTTTGTTGACTGGACGATTTTATAGGAACTCGATCTTCGAATTGTTTAAAATGATTTTCATGGTGTTTAATATAATGACTTATTTCTCAAAAATGGTTTGATTCTTAAGTTTGGGGTTGGTAGTTGGTTCTCCCATGGAAGGATTAAGTATAAGTATCATTCACGACAGATCAGGATGATCACATAATGATTTGTTACAACTGTCTGACCTGCTATAGTATTAGAATAAATGTTATTCAAAATATAACTAACCCATCACTAGGAAATTAAGGGGTTGGAACAAAACTAGACAATAATTTGAATATTTCTTCCCTTTTTTGAGGTATGACATGAATTTTTCCAGCACTAATATCTTAGAAAGAATCTCTACACTAACAACACATAAATTAAATCGCTATGTTAAAGTAGCTAATCATAATACTTAGTTGTAGTAAAACTTTTTTTTAAAAATGTAAATGCAATAGTACAGGAGTATATATTACACGTAATGTTGCAATGTCTGCCTGAAAACTCAACCAACATTTATTTTCTTCATTGAAATCTTACACAAATAAAAATAAAAATGTGAAAGTTCACCCTAGTTTTTGACCAATGATATTCCTCTTAAATTGGATAGGGTGAGGAGAATCGGAGACAGGGATTTCAAGGTGAAAAAATGAACTTTCATGAATAAGATTACAATTCAGGTAGTCGACTAATTGACCTACTAAGGTTCTCATATGACCGTATAAAAATCTTCCGGTATATATATGATTCAAATCCTAAAAAAAACTAAACATAGCCTTGATTTAGCAGGGCATTGGCATGATCTTGTATAACTTTTCAAGCTATGTCAACATGCCTATAATGTGTAAGAGAAGCACCAATTGCAAATCTAATAATATAAGTGCCTCCAACAATTCCATGAGTCAAATAGAGTTTGCTACATGAATTAATAGACTCCAACAACTTAGTGTTAAACATGTTCACTTCTTTCTCATCATCAAATTTGATTGAAACTTGACTTAGTACTAGCGGAGAGATCCTAAAACACACCATAGCAAACTTTCTAGGGACAAAGATTTCAAACCTTTTGTCCATAGCTATAAGCCCTTCAAAATGTTTAGTCATGTTCACATGACTTCTTATCAAGTTTCTAAGATTAGTTACCCCATAACTTCTCAAAACTAACCATAATTTCAATGCTCTAAACCTCCTACTCAATGCAATTTGCCAATCCTTATAATCAATCACTTGATTTAACTCTGTAGCCTTGTTTCTCAAAAATTCAAGATTAGTTGATAACGCGTTAGTAAGTGCACTTGGATCCTTAACCCAAAGACAACAACAATCCAAAAGTGGAAAAGAACCATTTGTGCGCGTTGAGACTAAATGAATTTGCATTTTCAACACCATCAAGAAAGACTTGAAATTCAGGGCAAATACAAGCACTTCCTACATAAGCTGCATCTACATGTACCCAAATCCCAAACTCCTTAGAAATATCACAGAGTAGACGCAATGGATCAACAGAAGTTGTTGAAGTTGTCCCAATTGTCGCGCACAAGAACAAAGGAACATTTCCTTCTTTTAGATCATTCAAAATTGCTAATCGTAGCGATTTTGGACACAAGGTGTACTCTTTAGCCTTTATTGTTGGGATAACTCGAAAATTTCCAGGGTCTATCCCAGCAATGTGGGCAGACTTCTTAAGTGAGAAATGTGTTTGACCAGATGCATATACAACCAATTTTCCAAAATTCTCTCTACTTATTTTTCGCAGCATTTGATCTCTAGCCGCAACTATAGTACACAATATGGCTTCACAAGTTGTACCTTGTAGTACACCTCCACCACCACTCGCGAACAAAAAACAATTGGGAAGATTTAACATTTTCCCAAACCAATCCATTACAATACTCTCAAGTTCAGTAGCAGCAGGGGATGATATCCAATTAAACCCTACAACATTAAATCCAACACTTAACATTTCACCTACGAATCCAACAGTACTTCCTGAAGATGGAAAATACGCGAAAAAGTTAGGACTTTGCCAATGTGTTAGCCCTGGAATAATATCATTTTGGACATCCTTAAGAATTTTATCGAGAGACTCAGGATTATTAGGTGCGGAATTTGGTACAATGTTTTGGAGATACCCTGGATTTACTTGACTACAAACAGGATATTGTTCAATATTTTGATAGTAGTCAGCTAGGAAATTCACAATTTTATGACCTTGCCTTCTAAATTCTTCAGGGTCTAAAGGGTTTATGGTATTGAAAATTTGGTCATCAAGTTCATGGTTGATATTGAGGGTACCCATTATTTCAATTTGTGTGTATATGTTGCCTTGAAAGAAAAATAAATGGTTAGCTTTTATAAGGTTAGAAAAGAACTAAATTATTGTGGCATACATATAGTAGTAGTATCTAGATTTAATTTCTTTTTTTGGGCTATAGTTGGTTAGGAGTAGGACTATAGAAATAATTACACTTCATTGGTTGGTTATTACGTGTTGTTTTATAATGGATTGTAGTATGTTTATCGTTTTCCATCATTATATAACATAATATTAATGATTTGATTGATAAACCTACAAGAAAAGTAAGGTGTGGGATAGAGATACTATGAAAATGTAGGGGAAAAGATGAAATACAATTATTAAATAATAAATAAAGATAAAATAAGAAGAGAAATTAAGGTATACGATGTGATCACACACCAAGTTGATTATTTCACAAATGAGTTTTTTCATCGCTACTTAACAATGAATTTAAACGATACAATAAAATTTAAGTAATAATTAAAATATATAGTATATTTAAATTAACAATACAATATAATATAACTATATATCCAAACAAGGTGTTAGCCACTAGTTAGTACTCCCTATGTTCCCATTTAGTTGTCCACTTTAGAAATAATATACATTATGGCACCAATGATTATCATAGGTTAATTACAATTTTATTCTTATAGTACAACTCCCAAGTATAATAAATATATTTTTTGGTTTCAAAATGCATGCATTACAACTTAGTAGTGCTATAAATTTTCCAGAATTAAATAAAGATATATTAGAAAAAAAATTATTGTTCTTTCTTGATTTGTTAAAATGAATAAATAAATAGAGATAAATATAAAAGAAAATATGGATAAATAAATAAGAACAAAGGGAAAGGGAGTACAAATTAAAAATACTAGGCCACCTAAGTTGAAGAATCAATTTTTTCAAGCACGTGTCAAAAATGCTAGGAATTTGATGATCACCTACTAACTACTTTAAGTCACCTTAATTATGATTTATGATGATGTTACATATTGTTTTTTTCAATATATAATATTGATTAATTAGATTTATATGTTTAAAGGTGACTCATCTTTTGTTGAAGAAACAGGAAAGGACATGAGGGTCGTGTAAAATATATTGTCACAGTTTCATGTGATAATATTTAATTATAAATATGGACTTCAAAAAAAAATTAAAAACTTATAATTTAAAATAAGTTGTATATATTTGTACGTCTATAAATTATCTTATTACTAAAAAGGGTGGACATTTTGTTTATTCAAATTTCAATTTGATTTTTTGATTTTTAATTTTGGAAAAGTGTGTGCCGTATGTCAAACCAAACTAATTTGATTTGGTTAGATTTTTTCTACTTCGATTCAGTTTAATTTAATGCTTTTAAAATAATTTTGGTGCGAATGAAAATAATATAAAGACAAATTCAAAGTATAAGCATTTGAAGATTTAAAACAATATTAAGAAATAATGTGTCTCATCGTAGATTACTTATGATGTTAATTGAAAGACTATAATTGTCTTTGTGAAAAACATTTGCCTTCAACTACTTTTTCTAGAAAAACAAAGACGAAGACAAGTTCCTTTAGACCTTTACACGACATAAATCTATAAAATATATCTGTGTTCCTCTTGAGAATTAAAATTGAAATTATTTATATATTGAATTATAAATTTATTATTATTTTGATTTGTTTACAAATAATTTAATTATTTGTTAATTTTTATTTTTAGCGAAGAAAAATATACTGCAGAGCTAAATAAAAATATATATTGTTTGAAAAGGCATAAATAATGGACTTTATTAAAGATTTTATACCGTGTTCAAATATTAAAATCTTTTGCATAAAATTTGGTGGTTATCATTGAATCTCATTTATATATATTTAAAAAGAAGTTTCAAAAATAGTGGTAATAGTTAAAACACGTTGGCTCCAATCACCTTTAACATTTATTTAATTTGCTCTTCTAAACATCGCAATGTACTCTTCTTTTAAGAAGAAAACAATTCAAAGTTCTGGCTTCATTCTACTGGTAATTTGGGACGTGGAGCGATGCCTCTGCATCGAAAAATTATATTATATAATTAGATAAAAATATTTTTTTTATGTTTATATATTACAAATTGATATTTTTTACACAATTTAACTTTTTTATATATTAACATTTTTAATTGAAATTCTGAATTCGCTATTGCTTCTCTTGTATTAATTACTAATAAGAACAAACTTTTTTTTTTTAAAAAAAAGACATAAAACTTTCAGAAATTCAATGCGTAATTTCAGCATTTAATGTGTATTCATGAATAATCTCATTTTTCTATTATTCAACCATTTTATTTTACCAAGTTCAATGTTAACCATATTAGTCAACATTTATCTTTTTCGAAGCAACAACAAGATCTTTTTGGTTTTCTTGATTGGTTAATTGATCACATTTTATTAATGAAATGACTTGGATTGATATTAGTCTGAATACGATAAAATCATTCTATTAGATCTAAGAAGTACATTCGATCTAATAAATACCTTGTGTTAGAATTGAGAAATTCATAACACGAATCTTTAGTATTCTCTTTTTTATAACATGTGTTTACTGATAAATAAGTTTTTAAAAATAAGTTTGTCTACAAAACTACAAATATAAAAGTTTACAAAGAAAAATTCAAATTTCAAATGTTAATGTTAAGGAATATGATTCAATCCATTCGTTCATTCTTTAAATTGTTTTAACAGTTGCTTCATTGGACAAAAGTGTCATAAAAATAATTTTTAGTTGAAAGATTAAAAAGTCATTCGCTTTTACATAAACACTTAAATATATGTATTATATAAATTTCATTAAATTATTCCAAAATTATATTACTAAGTCTACAGACTATTAATGGATTAACACATTTGATACAAATATTAGCATTATGAAGATGCATTGTAATATAAAGCTGTATAGTAGATTATAAAACATTATATTGTATAAATTGTTCCTTTCATAAATTAGCACTTATGAAATTGTATTGTGATTTATTATGGGCTTGTGTTTTCGAATAAATAAATTGATATAATATCACAAATAAATGTATTATTTAATACTCTTTTTGTCAATTTTTATTTGTCATGTTGTGTTTTTTGAAAGTTGATTTGACTAATTTCTAGAGTTAAATTAGATTATGTTGATTCGATATTTTAAATAAAAAATTTAGATATTCAAAAACTACATGAAAAGTACTATAAATTGTAATTTTTTAAATATCAATATGATGAAAAATACACCTTAAAATGTTAGTCAAAGTTTTTATAGTTTAACTCTAAAAATACAAATTAAGACAAGTAAAAGTAGACGGAGAATATGAAATTTGCACCAGAGTAGATTGTTATAACACACTTTTGGGGGTGTGACATTTCCCAAATCTTATGAATGCCGGAAGTTTTGTACGCAGAGTTGCTCTTTTTTAAATTATATTCGTAGAAGACCTTAACATAAGGTTGTTTTGCATTATAAATAAAATTTGATTCAACGTATAATTATTTCATAAAAGATGAAATATTAATTACTTTTAAATTTCTAAATATTAACTATTTTATATTTTTCAAATAAGAGATAGTTAACTTCACAATTTAATTAATGTTTAAACTTCTTTAATTTTAAATAAGTTTGAAATAATTATTTTACAAATGTCAAAATACTTTCAAAACCATTTTGAAATGATAAGAGGAAAAGTGGGGAGGTCTTTAGTCGTGCACTAGGGTTATTGAAATGTAAGGGATGTTTTGAATAGCCGAGAGGCGATTTCTGATAAGGAAAGGACCAAACCATCCCTTAGAAAATAGTTATTCAAAAGTGCATAAAAATCATGTCTGAAATTCATTTGAAGTTGAACCAAGTAAAATCTTAAACGACAACTCAATCGATAAAGAAGTTTTCATCTTAACTTTGAGCTAGAAGTTCTTTATAACCTTCATTAATATTCAAAACTCTTCCCTCTATAAGGAATTGTTTTGAAGACCCATGCAACATTAGAAATCATCGAGTTTGAGGTCTATACGCATTTAAAGAACAACCGAATCATAATTTGGAAATTCGGGGTGTTACATAATTCGCTATGGCAAAAGTGTATTTCCTACTGCGAAACATAATGTACATACATTTTAAGTTAGTTTCTTAAGTCTCTTCCCATAACTTAGAATATCCGGATCAAAAAATTCAAAATCAAATTTAAAGGTTTAGATCTATTTTCTTTTAAAAGGTAAGCAGGAGTGGCTCGACAGTGTTTAAAAAAAGACGCGTGTGTTAGGCCCCAAATTTAAGGGGTCTCATTTTTAATAATAATAGGTTATACGTTATTATTGTTTAACAAATTTTGAATACTAGTTATAGAAAAAACCAATTTTTTCATGAAAATCAAAGAATTATTAGAAGAAATTTGACATATTTATATACAATATTTCAAAAAAATAATTTAGAATAAGAACGGTTATATTATCAATTGGAAACTAGAATAAATAAATTATATAAAAGTTAATAACATTCAAATTTAAGACCCCATTTGATTTTTGTTTTAGGCCACTAATATGTTGAACCGCTCCGTCTCTCTATTAATTATTTCATCTAGTAATTCGATTTCATCCTAGAATCAAATTAGAGTAATCTTAAGGGAGAATTATTTGAGTATATTAACTTACGAATTAATGGAGTAGAAACTCTAAAAACAGAGTATATATGATCATGAAAATTTACCGTATAATAAATAAATTGTTGGTAAATAATTAGACTTTGATAAACGGGTTATGTCAATTTTTTTTGTCGGGAAAAGGCATAAATTGCCATCTAAATTTGTACCTAAAAGATATTTACATACGTTAACTAATGGGTCGGTCTATTACACACCTAAGTACATAAAAGTGTATTTATTTTCCCTTCCGTTACCCAACCCAGGGCGTGTTTCGCCACACATATTTGAGTGCGTCAACACGCTAATAAAATCATTTTAATATATATTTTAATTTAAAAAAACTCAATCCAA